GAGGGGATTTTTGTTCAGATATGAACATCTCCTTTGCTGGATCACTTCCTCCAACCCTATATATCCTGCAGGGTTCTGTCTTGGACCATCTTCTCTTTTCCCTTTATATTGCTTAAATCAGTGATCTCATCAGATCCCATGGATTTAATTACCATCTCTATGCTGATGATTGTCAAATCTATCTATCCTGCCCCAGTTTCTCTGCTGACCTTCAATTTCATATTGACATCTCAAACTGGATGTCGAGCACACTTAAAATCAACATTTACCAAACTCAATTCGTTATCTTTCCCTCTGGCCTCCACTTTCCCCATTACTGTAGAGGGCAATCCTATCCTCCCAGTCCCTCAGACTCACAACCTAGGAGTCATCCTGGACTCTTCACTATCTCTCACTCCCCCACATCCAACCTGTTTCCAAGGCCTGTAGATTTGAACTTTGCAATATCTCTCAAATACTCCTCCTTCTCTCCTCTGACATTGCCAAGACTTTAATGCAAGCCTTCATCACCTTATACCTGAACTACTGCAATAGTCTACTGACAGGTCTCCTTGCCTCAACTTTTTCCAGTCCAATCCAGCCTCCATTCAATCACCAAAGTGATTTTCCTAAAGCACAGGTCCAACCATATTATCCCCTCTACTGAATAAACTCTAGTAGCTGCCTATTACCTTTAGGATCAAATAGAAAATTCTTTTTGTGGTATTCAAAGTCCTTCATCATTTAGTCTCCTACCTTTCCTGTCTTCTTACATCCCATTCCCCACCATGTACTCCTTGATCCAGTGACACTGGTTTCCTTGCTGTTCCGCCAACAAGACACTATTTCTCTCAGCTCTGGACATTTTCTCTGACTGTTTCCCAAGCCTGGAATTATCTCCCTCCTCATCTCTACCTACTGCCTTCGCTGACTCTCTTTAAGTCTCAACTAAAATCTCATTATTTTATAGGAAGTCTTTTATCAGCTTTTCTTAATTCTACTGCTCCCCCCCGTTAATTATTTCCTATTTATCCTGTATATATTGTTTGTACATATTTGTTTGCTTGCTATCTCCCTCATTAAATTGTGAGCGTTTTGAGGGTGGAGACCATCTTTTGCCTCTTTTTGTACCCCAGGGGCTTAGCAGAGTGTCTGACACACAGTAGACACTTAATATATGTTTACTGACTGACTCCATATGGGTTACATCAGATAGCTTCTGAAGCCACTTCTATTTCAATTTCTATGATTCTTTGAAGCATATAGCTAGAACTGGAATTATTTAACTGAACTATTTAAGACTATATCCAGGAATCTCTCAACACTTTTAAAAATTATTATCTAATTTGGAAGCAGAGCTCTAAGAGGACACATTTTTTCCCCCAGAAAAGGGATGGTCAGAACTTTCTGCACTCTCCAAGAGGAAAGAGTTATAGTAAATACGGCACCAGCAAAGAGTGGATTTTTGCATCTGCCTCTTCGTTGGCCTCCATGATATTTTACACCTTTGTGTTAGACGCAAATTCAATGACTGTTCCAGTGATAAAGACTTAGGAGAAAAGATACCACATGGAGGAAGCAATGCCAATACCACTGGAGCTCCTAGGTCTGTACTTCACTTACCCAGAAGGATCAAAACCACTTTGTAAATTCACTTCAGGCAAAGCCAGAAAAAAAAAAATTCTCCACCGAAAATCTCAAGCAGCTCAGTCCTGTCCTGTTAATTTTAGCATTTGGGGAATACACTATAACAGGGTGACCATTTTCTCTGAGCCATGGCACAACAGACTCAGCCTATCCCAGAAAAAGAGGATCCATATTCTCAGTTGAAATGGGCTCATGAGGTGGTCTTCTAGTCAATGTTGTCTTCGATAGGGTAAATGTTTTCTAAGAGCTAGACCTGCATTTACCCAAAGAGGAACCAGAGAAAAGCTCACTTAGGCTTTTCTTCTTCCTTTTAAAAAATCAGTACGTCTGTGCTGGGGATTAGTTGGGAAAGAAATAATTAATTCCCTCCTAAGTGTGTTAGCAGCCTAGGGTAGGCTTCATTTATTTTCTAATTAGCTATAAACTACTTCAAAACAATCAATTCAATTGAATATGGCTATGGAAGGCAGTTTTAGTCCAATTTGGAAGGGCAGTTACTGAGGGGTTCTTTGATCTTTCAAGTTGGCTGAACGAAAAGCTAAGGAGTTCATTTGGGGACAGTATGCTGTTAGAGATAAACATACCTTCCTTCCTTCCTTCCTTCTTTCCTTCTTCCCTCCCTTGCCCTTTCCCTTCTCTTCCTTTTCCCTTCTTTCCCTTCTTCTGGTTTGTGATTTCCTTGGTTTAGAGAATGCCCTGGTACGGAAGATCCATCCACTGATATGGATTATCAATTCTTTTCTGTGCTATAGTCTTAGAGAGTTTCCTCGGGGTAGTAAGGTGTCCCTGGCTGGTCCAGGGGGTGTCAAAGGTAGGACCTGCCCTCAGGCTCTCCCAAGTATAAGGCTGGTCCTATATTCCATTGGGCCATGTAACCTTTCTTCTTTTTTTTCTTTAAATTGGGGAACATAACTAAAGTACAAATTATTATTTCAAGGGATAAATTCAACTTTATATAAAAATGTGCACTAAATGCAAAACTAATGAACGTTGTTTCCCAAGTTGGGTACAGATTCATAGCTTCCTAAATTCAGTTTTTTAAAGTATCTTTTAAAACGCATGCATTAAACCAATGAATACCGAATGCAAAGAAACTTCTATGTCATGGCAATATTTAACATTGACATTACATAAAGCTAGTGGGTAGAGGTGCTCTAATTTGGAAAACAAGATTGGATCTCTGATATTTCAAAAAGTGTGAATAAGGAGCCATGTTATAATGTGAATCTACCATGCACATACATTGATATGGGCATAATTGAGACGTGAGTGACTCCATCCAGATTCCTGCCTCCAACTGTGAGATGTATACCCTTCAAAGCAGATGCAATGTGGGAGTCTGTGTACTTATTTCAATAATATCATTGCTCACATGATTTCCAAAGACGATCATTTTCACATCCTTTTAGATTGAATTTAATTTTTGGAAACATCAAAAAGTAATTCAGAACTCAATGTGGTGAATAAAGTGGGTGATCAAGCTAAAAAATGCAGTATTAGGTCCAAAGCAAGGTATAGGTGGAAAGTAATGAGTTTATTTTTCTTGTATGGCCACCCCAAAGACAATCCCCAAAGAGAAGTTACAGATCACTTCTGACCAATACCTATGTGTCTGGCAAAAATGTTATCCAAGGTAACAATTAGTGCTATTCGAAAGTGCCTCAAGAAACAGAGAGTCCCTCCTCCCTCTCTGTTTCCTTAGCTGAAGTCTTTTGAGTAACACATAGAAGGAACTGACAATGGGGCCACATTTAGAAAAAAATGAAATCAAAACCAAAAAAGGATACTCTAAGTGTATAGTTTTTGCTTTCTCCTAATTCTACCTCCCTCCTTAAATCTTTGTGGGAAAGCTAACATATAAAACAAATACAGAAATGTACATTCTGTTGCTTTTGGAGAGTTCAGTAAATAGACATTTCTCCATAGTTCCCTCAAGACATGATTAAATCGATTTTTCAATCACCCCTTGGTATACCATATGTTCCAATTTCATGGCCCAAGTGTTTTAGTGGGATGAATCCCCTACTCAGGATCCAGTTTAGAGAAGCACATTATTTAGAAGGTAATACACATCCCCTACTTTTAGATTAAATGGACTTTCCATGTTTTTGTCAATGTTTCAGAGTTCACCAATTTAAGCTTTCTTCTATGTCTCATTCAGATTGAAGTTAGAAGGATTTGGTCACATTCAAGGTAGACGCAAAGCTTCTGCTCAGTGATATGACTAATGACATTTTACCTTTTTCTCTCTCTTAGCTCTGGAGACTTCTGGTGACTCACTTGCCTTATGTGCAAGAGGGTAAGACCCAAATTCACGTCACTCTGAGTTAAGGTGATATTTGGGAAATAATACCAGTGTCACACGAGGACAACTCAGAAGTGATATTGAAACACCTCACTTTCTAATGACTTAAAATTCTTTGGTGATGAAAGTTTACTTTGACCTTACAGACCATTTTCATCATTCTTACACTGGTTATAGACTTCCTAGCCTAACACAGAGCTTATTATCATAGTAAGGACCACATTGTAGCAATTTCCTCTTCAAGAACTGAAACCTAGTGTTACCAAGTTGTAAAGGGTGGGAGAACTGGGATCACACTTAAAACTAGTATATGCAAATGGAAGCTATATGCATGGAAAACATTTCTTCGAATCTCACAATATTATGCCAAATGTAGAATTGCCAGTTAAAGAGGTCTTCCCACAAGAAAAGGAAGGGGGGGAAGGGGTGAAAGGATTCTTAAAATTTCAGCCCAAAATAGTAGAAATAGCATTTGGGGGCCATGCTGATCATCGAACTTCTTACCTAGCTATATGGACATGGGGATAATTTTTGGGAGCAACCAACTTATATAAGAAAAGATGGTTGTTCATACTTTGTAGTCTCCTATATGTGAGCAGAGCTTAAAACTGATGTTCTCCAACTCAGTACCCCAGAGAACATCAGTTCGCTACATAGCCACGTTTGGTTTCATTATGGCAGTCTTCCCTGTGACCCTATCATACTTCTTCATGGCTCACATTCATTAACTTGGGAATTAACACCCAAATGGTCCCTTTTTGGTGCTAAAATTGATCATAACTGTACTACTGGGGCATTCATAAAAGAATGCTGTCAGCAGCATGTTGTCTTGGTACAGTGGGATAAGGGAGTATTGGTGGAGAAAAAAATAAAACCAGACTCAAAAATTGCTCCTAGGACTGTGTAAGCGGTACAAAATGGGAAGACACCTCAGCTTGAAATTCTTTTAAAGCAGAACCATAACATACGTCATCTTAAGCACTTACAGTTTTAATGCCGTGGAGTAGAGATTAAACAACAAGAAACAAAACGTTTTGAAATCAACTTGCTAGAAAGCTTGCAGTCTTACCTTTCCTGGTTTTTTCGGCTCTGGTTTGCTCTGAATTAGGATTAGATGGCAGCAAGAAATCAAAGCAAAGAAAAAAGAAAAATTAGCATCAATCTGGCTTGACCAACATTATCATTCCTTTAAAAACATGCTCACATTGCAATAGTTTTTATTTACTTACATCATCCCTCTGAGACTTGAGTGTGAAATGGCAGAGCGAGCATTACCGAGTGTCAGGTGGTTGGGGTTTGAGGCCCAGCTCCGCCATTAGCTAGTCACATAACTTAGAGATCAATTTCCTCATTTATTAAATGAGACGTTTGGACTCCAAGTTTGCATTTATTATCTCATAGACTCCTGCTGGGTGTAACATTCGATGATTTACTCTAACAGTGGTACTGCCAATAGAACATTTGATACCATGCTAAAATAGAGAATCATATAAGGTAATAAGAGACCACTGAGGATAGCCCTTCATTTTACAAATGAGGAAACTGAGGCACAGAGAAGTTAAGTGACTTGCCCACGGTCACAATAACTACTAGTACGTATCTGAGGCAGGATTTAAACCAAGGTCTTTATGACTCTGAGGGCAGTGCCCTATCTACTATACCCTACTGCCCTCACCTGGTATCCTAGTTTAGTTACTAAGCTATATGCATAGCATTATTGTACATTTGCCCAAAATACATAGCTATCACAAGAAAACCAATCCCTTGATTAGAAGTCAATAATTTAAGTATTTGGACTTTATTTCTGATATATGAGCATGTTTGAATTAAAGGGAAAAGTAATGGCTATAAAAAAACAACAACAAATTAAAGATATTTAACACAATTTCATTCAACTCTAAATTACCTGGGCTGGAAATATCCGAGGTAGAGTTTAACCAAGAAACTTAGCTTGTCTATACGTAGAAAAACATCTCTGAACACAAAAGAATAACTGTACCTAGCATTACTAGTTGTTTTTTTTTCTCTAAATATCAAGTTTATGATTAGGACCACAAAAATATTTTGCCTACTCTACCATGTATTCTCACATCGACATAGGCAGTTAGATCAGATAACCCCATTTCTCCATCAGTGTTCCCCATCAGCCTTTCTCTCCCATTGTTTATTTCTGAATCCTGTCTTGCCTATAGTTATGCATGGAACCCCTGTGAGTGCCTTAGTTGGTGGCGAGAGAGCACTGGGGAGTAAGGGTATTTGAAAGGAAGGTGAACAAGATGATGGATGATGGAATAGATCCAACTATTCATGCCATATTAAGTGCATCCACCATTTTATTCATAGGCCAAACCTTTGTTAGCTGTGTTAATGAAACAGCATTAATCTATCTTTATATTGGTCGGGCAGAAACCTGAAGCCAACACATATACACACATATGCTTTAAGTCACAAATCTGCCATATCAGGGCAGGGGGAGTAGAAAAGGATTCCTACACAAAACATTTAAAAAATATTCATACAGCCTGCCCACACTAATCAAATTCACCATCAATAACCTACAACTGGAGGGGGATGCACGGAATAATATCTTTGATGAAAAGTGTCCCTAGATCTTTAATAACCTTAACATAGCAGAACCTTGCCATTATACGACTGATAATGACTAGAAGAACTCACCAGTGAAAAGGTTTGCAAAGTTCCCTGGTGTTAATTAACGCCAACAGAATAAGAGAATCACAGTTCCCAAGTGGTTAGAGTGGGAAAAAATTCCTTTACCTAAATTCTTAATATACGTCTTATTCTGTAGCACGTAAGAGAGCCTTGTTAAATATGTCTTATTAAAGGTCACTGTCAAAATCATACGCTACTTGGGCACTGGGCAAGCTGCCACCCGGAAATTGCCAGTGAGTCAAGTGAAGATCTGTGAATGTTGATTATAACTGTCTTGGTAAATTATTCAGTGGATTGTCACGAAGTTAATGACTAAGCCATGTTTGAGAGGAGCATTTAAGACATTGATGCCATGTCTACCGTCTATCTGATCTGAAAGTCCTTCTCACAAATAAATAAACCTTTTTATCTGGGCCTTAAACTCTCACTTCTAACTTTGTTATTTAAGTGGTCATTCCCCCTACTTGGAAAGCTCTCCCTCTCCATCCCTGCCATCTGTCATCCTTCAAAACTTGCCTCAAATCCCACCATCGTTGTTATGAGACTTTTGGTTGTAACATTTTTGCCTTGATACATCTTAAGGATGAACTGGCATGGGTCAAAGTTTTTCACACTCATGGACATGCACATGTATGTGCTCACACACACACACACATACATACCCACACACTATCAACACAAGGGCCTTTCTCTTTCGCTATACCACAGAGACTTAGCAAAATCTGTTAAGATGTGTGGCCTTCTCTTCAGGGCAGTGGGGCCAAGTTGCAAGAAAGCCCAGAGATCTCCTGGGAAAGACGCAAGGATGATGGCAGCAAGGGTTCCATTTTCAAAGCAGTTACAAAACAGAAACACTGAAAGATACAAATTCTATTTTGAAGATGGAGATTATTTATTCTCTGAACTGAAAAACGAGCTCTGGTCAGACCAGTTATAAATCCCCTAAAATATTGTCCACTAATTCTTCTATCATATTCCTGAGTTAAGTAGCTTAGCGCTTTCTTATTAACCTCATGGTGTGAATAAATCCTAACTTCGACTACCAAAGGGTGAATGTCTTCCAATCTGTCTGCTAATTTCCAAGCTTGATAGAGCTAAGTGGATGTAATTAATTGATGAACGAGAGGTAAAGGATATGGGATGCAGGAGGGAGAAAGGAGAGAGAAGCCTCATACAAAATGGAATTATGATCTAATTGAAGGAAAAGCTTAACTTTTCAGGCAACTCTTCATTATAGCTTTATTGCAGGTATGGTAAGCAATGAACAGACAATGAGATATTATTCATGTAGAGATATACAGCAAGTATAGTGTATATGGGCAGCTAGGTGAGCAGTGGATAGAGCACTGGGCTTAGAATCAGGAAGACTCATGTTCATGAGTTCAAACCAGGCTTAGACACAAGCTGTGTGATCCTGGGCAAGTCACTTAACCCAGTTTGCCCAGTTCCTCATCAACAAATGAGCTGGAGAAGGAAATGGCAAACCACTCCATTATCTTGGCCAAGAAAACCCCAAATGGAGTCACAAAGAATTGGACATAACTAAAATGACTGAACAACAACAAAACAACATAGTGAGTCTTCAGCTGGGACTTGACAGAAATCCAGGGAGCCAAGAGGAATAGGTGAGGAGGATGAGCATTCTGAGGAATGGGGGAGAGTAGCCTGGGAAAATTCTCAGAGTGGGGAAATGGAGCATCTTGTGAGAGGAAGAGCAAGGAAGACAGCATTACTGGATGGCAGAATATGGTACTGGTGCTGACATTCAAGAGTACGTTAACTATTCAAGATGAGCTAGATGAAAGATGAAAGTGTTGACTAAATGGCCAAGCCCAGAATACACTACCTTGAATTAGCAAATTATGGATTTAAGGATATCTCATTTTGTCTGTGTGAGTTTCTCCTCCACCAATGCACATTGAAGCCATTTATAACTTAATATGATTAGAGTTGCCATCACCCAGCTGCTGAGTTCACCAAGGGCCTCGCCCAACTTTGCCAAGCCTGTACTTGGATTAGAGTCCCCACTGGTTCTCTCCATATTCCCCAGTCCTAGTCAAAGCTTCCATTCTACCAGTATAGCCTTCCAGAATCCAGAATCATCTCCAAGTCATGAACTCAAAGTAGGACCTTAGTGAAGCTCATGCAGAGTGACACATAAAGAAATAAAACTGATTTGACCTGACTTCCCTAGCATATGTTGGTCATTCCTGTACTTAAGCACCAACGCGTTGAGGAACAGAAACTCGGACCATAAGCCAGCAATTTTTCTCTTGGCCTCATGTCTCTTTTGTTACTTTTCCAGTGGCCAAGTGAGCCACGGAGAGTTGGACACAACTGAAAAAAATGACTGAACTGAGCCTAGCTGCTTTCTCCACTTGTCTCCCTGTTAGTTATCAGCTTAGCCTCATGAACTTCAAAGTGTTTGCTCTACATTTGTTGAATACTTGGGCATATGATTCAAACAGCTTTGTTCTTTTAATCTCTGATGGATTTATCAGTGTAATTATGAAGCAGGTTATATCTGCAAATGCTTCACTATTCCTGTGAACTTAACGGGGCAATTAAAAGCATTTACAAAGCAACATATCCATGCTCAGAGAGAGCTCATTATCATTCTGTTCTAGAGGTCCACAATGCAGGGCCTCCTTAGAGCTCGAAGACTGCCGAAGAAGAAGAAGGCCCTTCTTCTGCTTCAATGATAAATCCTCATGGATAGGAGCCAAGCAAGAGTGTATTACCACTGCTTAATAGTGTCTCCATCTGAGGTGGTAATGGATCAAGACGGAAGATTTGAGGACGAGTACTTTGTTAGTCAGTGGTTCAGATCTATGGTTGAATTTCAGCTGGTTTAACAATAACAACTCACATTTACAGAGCACTTCATAATTTACTACTGTGCTAAAATATTCCTTTGGTATTTTATAACTGGCTAAGAAGTGATTCTTGGTCTTCCACAGCTCTAAGAATAAAACCTCAAGCTGGGAGCTTTGGTGATGAGTGGTATCTTTCATCTAAGGACCTGTGTAGCTAGATGCAGAAAGGCTCATCGCTGGAAGCTTAGCCAAAAGGGATTCAAAAAGGTTGTGCCGGAAGGTGTGAAGAGGCCATGACATGTATCAGCAGAGGGAGTTCCCATACCAATGAAATTATAGGCTGTTGACTTTTATGACTGACTAAGCACTTTATAGTTAGTATACGTGATACTAGTTGCATTTTCAAGATGAAGAAACTGAGGTTCAGAAAGATTCACTAGCTTACCCACAAGTTAGAATCAAGGCTTCTAATGAAACTCAGGTCTTCTGACTTCAATCCAGGGCACTCTCCATTGTATATGGTATATTGCTAATACTGGCTCCTGAAATCTACCTAACATGAAATCCCATTTCTGAAAATCTGACTGTGACCATCTCAAGACATTTTCTGGAT